CCACCTATACAACATCTTCCAACAAAATAGATATCCACGCAACTTTATCAAAAAGTGCCTGACCACTCAAACTACTACAACATAACTAACACAAGCTATGAAAAGGATCACACTGCCATACATCAGAAATGTCTCCGAAACACCATTACAACCACATGCCATCTCTGAAGCACACAAACCAACTAAAGCCCTCCAAAATATCTTAAGCAAACCAAAAGACCCAGTAGCACAAGAAGAAAAAAAGGAGTCATCTACAACATACAGTATAAGGACTGCAACAATCATTATGTAGGACAGACAGGCAGAAGGCTGGCAGAGCGCATCCATGAACACCAACTAGCAGTCAGAAGACATGATGAAAATTCCTTAGTCTCACAACACTTGGACAGACTTAACCATAGTTTTAACTGGGAAACTGTCAGGATTTTAGACCAAGCTAAATCATTATGTAGGACAGACAGGCAGAAGGCTGGCAGAGCGCATCCATGAACACCAACTAGCAGTCAGAAGACATGATGAAAATTCCTTAGTCTCGCAACACTTGGACAGACTTAACCATAGTTTTAACTGGGAAACTGTCAGGATTTTAGACCAAGCTAAATCCCAAAATGCAAGGGAATTCTTGGAAACTTGGTATTCAGACAAGGCAGCAATTGACAGACACATAGAGATAAACAGCATCTACACACTATTCAAAAGAGACAATAGAAAAGAAAACAAAAGACCAGAACATCTCCTCACCAGCAATCATCACCCAGATAATCAGAGGTTACCACCAGGCACACGATCAAGCAGTGAAAAATACCCTAATCAAGGAACTACCAGACAAACAAAACAAAACCCCCACCCCCACCAACACTGGCAGGGCATGCCATAGCACATAAATAGAGAGCAAACCCCCTTCTAGCACTGAAGATGTTACCTAGCCAGGTAATGAAATGTTTGCAAGAAAAAAACCAAGCTCAGAGAACCCTAAGGACTCCACAGAGAAAGACTGGTACTGTAAAGCTTCTGTTTGCACTGCCATCCATGTTCTGGTGCTCCATTTTGACTAATCTTTGACAGAAATGCATGGCAAATATCTTTTAGAGATATATCCTAAGCTATATCTGTTTACAAGTAAACTTCAGTTCATTCAGTGCCACTTATTTATTTTATTCACTTATTTGTTTATTCAAGCATACTTGAAGTCTATTTTGAAGATATTCATCTTTTGGGCAACGTGTGCCCTTAATGGAAAAGTAATCTAAATAATATTAATAATAAAAAATGCATCACAAGTGACACAAAGCTAACTTCTGGATGATTTGGCATAGACCATAAAATATATCTTAAATTATTTTCAAAAGATTTTAGCTGATCTTATGGGAGACCTTAGCAGCTATGGCACAAGTATTGCTTGATTCCCTTTGGGTCTTGGCTTAATGAGGTAATAAAAGTAAAATTATCAACCCAATCCGAGAGGAATTCACTGTCAATATTTTTGTTCAATGTACCTGAGATTTTAACTTCAAAAGTCCAAAACAGTCAATATTCTCACAATACAAGTATTGTGTAACATAGTTTAGCATGGATACCTTTTTATGATATACTTGAGAGACTGTACTCACTGCATTTATTCTTGTAAACAAACATTTTGCAAAATAGTGAAAAACATCCATAAATTTCCTATTTATGCAACCTTGTAACTTTAAA